AGTCTCATCTAACAAAAGGTACTTTTTGTAGATAAACAGGAAAGTTCAAACATTAAGAAATTAGAAGTGTTTAGCTGTTATTTGTTATAGTAACCTGTTGTGGTATAGACAATACATCCCAATATCAATCAAAGCTACCAATAAATAACCCTAACCAAAAGTGATGCTTTGTTCCAACACAAAGGTGATAGACAACTAAATACTTTGTTAGTACCTTGTTGCGATATATGACCCCCACAGGGTAGTAACAAAGTGTTCAACAGTGTAGGAACCTTTGAATTCACTGAAACAGTGCTCAGAGTCGACTTCCAGAGAAACCATGATCAAAACCATTAACAAGTCAGAGAAAAAGCAAAGAACAACAGGTTATAAATAAAAATGGCAAACTGGAGACCAATACCCACACTCATTAACTCAGTCCTAGCCTTCAGGCGGTTCATTCTCACACTCTTTATTTTCACACTCTTGATCAGCGGTGTGATGAGGCAACTGGTTAAAACCAGCCACATAGTTGTTCCCGACCGTATAGCATTACTCACGCTTACTAGTTTACAGCTGACACAGTGGATACCCCAGTGACAGTGATGGTTACTTACGCAAACATCACTTACCAGGCAAATACAAATGCAAATCATGCCACTACAAGCTAGGTTAGCCCAGTTTGACACCATTTAGTTAAGCTCTCATAAGGCCTGACATTTAGCAGGGCATCCCATGGCTTGAAATTTGACAAAGTTTCTCACCAGAGCTTTCTTCTCACAGAGAGAATAGACAGATTCCAAGTTGGGGTCACTGTGCAGGGGATGGGTGTACATGCGGTGCTCAAAGGCCTCAATCTTCTGAATAACTTTCTTTAATGCAGGGTCTTTGATGCCCATGTCATCTATGGGGTCAAGCAGAGGAACACCATCTGGGAAACGTTTCTGCACCTCCTGTGGACAAAATGATTGGAGGAAAAAAAAAAATGTAAATGATTCACACTAATATCTTCAACACCTTGAGAAATGGCTCTGCTTTGTACCTGTATGGACTTGAGCATGAGCTGTCTGTTGTCATAGGGTCTCAGGTCTTTGGGGATGTAAAGACGAACTGAGCTGACAGAAGTGAGGAGATGGAGCATCACTGGAACCACCTGGGCGGAAAAAGGTGATTTCAATTATGGCGCTCCCATTTGTGTATATGAAGTTATATGTGTTCTTGTGATTGCTCCACCCACCTGCATCTCTCCAGTCTCCCCAGGAGCGGCAGGTTTAGCAGCTTCAGTTGCAGCATCTTTCACACTGTCCTTACTACAGTGGACCAAAACCTCCACGACATACAGCGGCTCTGAGTCTGTAGTCGTCTAAATGGGAAATGTGTGTTAGTCATAGCCACAGGACCTTGGATTCGCCTACAGGTGCCACTAACTTACCTTAACATTAGTCTTCTTGCAAAAGTTTACAACCACTCCCCAGCCAAAGTCAGCATCCTCATTTTTTACCTGAAAGATGAAAATACAGACTTGTTAAATGATGTGAAAATCTTCCATTATTACTGCTGGTCTAAGTGTGCAGCAGTACCTTGACAAGTCGTCCAGGCTGTAAGAAGGGCAAGCAGTATTTGGGTTTGTGGATGAACTCCTGGATTTCTTTACTCAGTTTGGCCAGCTGCTGTCTGATTTTAAAGTAAGTGACCACACTCTCTTCATTGGGAATCTCAATGGTGTGGTACTGCTCCTCCAACTTCTTAATTTCTGCACAAACACAGTCATTTTAGATTCATCTTAGAACTACATCACACGTAATTCATACCAGACAACTGAAGATGACACTTTAAACAGTCATCATACTACGAATATACATATACATGCTATTGAAGTCTGTGATTGCTATTTGTGTTCATATTTGTATGTCTGTTAGTTACTACCCAAGTGTGTAGTGTGAACAAGTGCATACAGAAATGCTTACTCTCCACTACACCAGGCAAAGCCCTGTAGTGTTGGAACTGGTAGAAAGACTTCTCCAGCATGTACTCTGGGTTGATCTCCTCCACACGCAGCAGGTTGAGCACCATGTTGTAGGTTAAGTGGAAGGCACTGTTCAAAGGATCTGCAGAGCCCTGCACAGCAGGATTAAAATGGTTAAAATGATTAAAATGTCAGTGATTTCTGACAAAGAACAACTTAAGAATCACTTCTAAAACTTTGGAGTCAGTGGTTAAAATAATGCTAGGGACTAAAAAACCTGAAAGTGATGGTAAAAAGCATTTGCAGCAACTTGGTTAACAGTACCTTGAGTAGCTGTTTACCCACAGCTGGGCTCATCTTCTCATCCACCATGAAAATAACAATCCCTCTGTCGTCCATTCCTCTCCTCCCAGCACGCCCAGACATCTGGATATACTCACCTGATGTTATCTACACAAGGTGGGAAGATAAATTATATTAAAGAACGTCTATGTACATGTAAAATAAATGTACAACTGAAAAACTGGTTAAAACAGCATAAATGAAGGTAGAAAAAACAAAACACTGAACATCTGCATATTTATTCAATTACTGCCTAGGCAATTATCTGCATTGCTATGAATCTACATCACTCATCTACTGTTCATTGAATCACACATGGCACTGACTAAGCTCCACATTTTTACCTCTCTTTGCACATAAAACAAACAAGAGTTTAAATGATCAGATCTTCATTTCACACATTCTTCAGAGCAGCTCTTGAGTTGGAAGAGAGTTTTTTGAAGAATGAAGGTGAAGTGTGAGTGCCTGTGTGGAGTTTTGGCACCATCAGAGGCAACAGATGTTTCTGCTGAACCTCTTGGAGGGCAGTTTCACTCTCGCTCATTCTCTTTAATCCTTAGAGCACCCCCTTGTAAACAATATGTGGCTGTTTATGTGGCAATGCAAGCTGCAACGCTTGAAGACCTTATAAAGGCTTCAGAATAACGTGCTACATAACAACTGCACACTTGACAGAGCAGCTTTAAAGCACAATTTATGGCGAGCTCTGCATTTTACTGGCCTGAAACAGAAGCCATAGACAGACAGATATCTTTCTGGAAGTGCAACTTTTCCAAACATCCATACTAATACTGTTGCTGAGAAAATTCTGTATTAAAGACATAAAAGAGGGGGAGACCATTGTGTTTGACTGCGTGAACTTACAAAGCGGTGATTCTTGCCATCAAACTTGCGTGCACTGGTGAAGAGCACAGTACGAGCTGGCATGTTGATGCCCATGGCGAATGTCTCTGTGGCAAACAAGGCCTGCAATGGAAATAAGGAGCATTAAGCTCATCTCAATATTTACATTTTATCACTTACAAATAGACACTGATGAAACTGCATCCTCAAGGACTAATTAACATGTTCAAAGTGTTCCTCATAAAACATTTGGAAAGCCATTTTCTATTCATCAAATCCATTAATATGACTATGTACTAAACTTTTGAGCAAACAAAGTATTTCCCCTAAACGTCTGTTACAAATACAGTTTTGAAATTTTCAGTCCTGCAGAGACAGACAAATCTCATTAAAGTTAGAATCACCACTGTACCTTGAGGAGGCCTTCAGAAAAGAGGATCTCTATGGTCTCTTTCAGGATGGGCAGTAGGCCTCCATGATGGATCCCTATCCCCCTCTTTAACAGTGGCAGCACATGCTCGACCTGAAGAACACAAACAAGCTCATTACTGTTGAACTTCTTACTCAGTGACAGTTTTAATCACAGCTGACGAAACCAAAGCCAACGTAACCCTCGTAATGGAAAAGTGTGTGGTAGGGTTGGGCTTTGCTGTTGCTCGTGTTGTACCCAATAACAGCTACTAACGCTGTTACTGGGTACAGGACTGATTTTAACAGGACTCATCACAGCAGGAAACAGTGAGGCTTTTTGCTAAGATTTTACAAGGTGTTAAGATCAGGTTCAAAAACCATGTTTAAATAAATAAATAAACCCTTGACAAGCTCAGAGAAAGCTGAGTGTGAGAGCATGCAGAAACACTTACCTGAGGCAGTTTCTTGTCCTCATCTGATAGACAGTCCACTGCATTGTTGAAAACTTCCTCCACCAGACGTTTCTCATCATCTGTAACAAAGAAAGGAGTGTAGTTTGAGTGATTTTAAAATATTATTCAACACATAATTAATCCTGGGAAATGTGGGGTTAACGTGGACCAACGGAGATAGGGGGTTTTGGGGAATTGCCTACAGAGAAACACCAACCACTCAGGGATTGTGCAAGTCTCTGTTGACTTTGGAGTTTTTCTGCCAAACACATTATAGTATTTGCTGTTGCTGGTGGGCAGTCTCTGTCCATCTCAGTCCATGTGGACTGGCCCTTATTCATGAAACCACTTCAAGTCCAATAATTACATTTGTAAAGGAATTTTGCTGTAGCTAAAAGCATAAACAAATAAAATACTGAAAACTTCTTTCTTGCAAGTCTTGCAACATCAAAGGTGTTGACAACTTTATCTCCTTTTTCTGACGTCAGACTGTGTGCTGTGTTACTGTTTGTAGGCCTCTGGTTAGCCAGCATTTCTAGATGATCAGAGTTATGTCACCACCTGTTGCTTCGGCATCAACAACATGCCAAAAATGTTTTGCATTTTCATGTGGAGAGATATTTTTCAAAACAAACATGGAAAAAAACCTCATTTTAAATAAGACCTGTATATATGTGGATATACCCTTTTTCTCCAGTCTACTGAAATTATCTCAGTACCTACAATTTTTCTTAAGAAAAACAAAAAACAAAAGCTTTACTGAAACCACAAGAACACAAGAAACTTGTGAAAATGAGGAACTGTCTTTGGTACTGTGTCTCCATTTGTTTTGTGCAATACTGATAAATCATTGGCAATCTGCACGGGATTTCAGTGCTGGAAGAGCTCAGTGTGAAAACAAACCTTCTCATTTATAATAATGTCACCGAGCAAAAAAAACAAACTGAAATGGGGAAGGAAAAGATCTCCCACTTAAGATTTGATGAGCATGTTTGACTTGGAGCAGGTGGATGTGAGCCAAGCTCAGTCTGCTGCTGGAATGTCTCCAATCATGTGAGGATTTATTCTTATGAAGCAACTCCTCCACTTATCCACTGGACCAAACAGCAACACCAACGGTGAAGGCACAATAAGCCACACTGATGGTAATCGCTGGGTGAGGAGGATTAAATCACATTCCCTGCCAACAATTTAGCAATGTTGATTTATTTGCCAAATCTCATCTTCTTCCCCCGCTCTCTGAACAGTTTGTCACAAAAACAGATGGTGTTGATGTTTCAGTTGGCAAAGAAAATCCATTTGCCATCTCAAAAATCTGCTCACTGACTGGTCTTGTGACCTAACCTGATACCTCATAAGTGAAAAATGCAGTGAAGCTATTGGTCAAAAAAAGCAACATCACTGTATAATAATATTCTCATGATCAAATTATAAAAAGTCAATCATTTCTAATCTTATTAGAGGAAAAAATAAGCTTTTAATCTGTAATATTCAGAACTTCACTGACAAAGAGTCTGACCTCACCTCATTCAGCACACATCAGAGCTACAAGCCAAATGCCAGAAACACATCCTTTGATATTAATCTATCAGCTTAGTTGTCAGCAGTAAACTTTCACAAATTGCACTTATCAAACAGCACATTTGCAAAGACCTCCTCAAAGTCTACCGGTGCTTTCATGACTGCAAACAACTTAACTTGTCTGACTATACTGCTACTCTCACCAGAGACATGGCCGCACGCTTTCGTGGGGAAAATCCTGACACACACACACACACAGATTAGAGAGTTTCCAGGAATGCACATACCTCTGTTAAAGTCCAGTTTAGCCACCTGCAGAGCGTAGGCCTCACACTCTTTCTTACTGAAGCTGAAAATAATCACTGGCTGGAAGTTCCTCTCCATGATCATCTTCACTATCTTGAACACGCTTGATGGGCCTGATTAAAGTACAAACACATGCAATCTTATATGAATTACTGAATCAAAGATTTTTACATTAAAATCCAGCAAACCCACACACCTTTAGTGCCTCCTTTCCTTCCTTTTGGATCCCACTTGGCACCTCCGCTGCTGCCCCCAGAATCCCCAGCATCTCTCAGCACCTGCATAGCTGTGTTGAAATTGTCCTCTCTGAATTCTCCCTGGAGAAAAATACAAGACAAAAAAAACGTCCTGAATTATACATTACCTTATAGCGGCTGTTTCTAATTGATGCATCCAAATTTAGAATACACAAATTGTTATTTTAGCCCCACTTGTGTAAAGCAGAATTATCAGTGAAGGAGATGAAGCTGAGTCCAAAGAGCTATAAATTCATTTCTTATGAAAAGCCCTAATGAGTGTTGTTTCCACGTGTCCTTACATTTTCATCAACAACCAGGTGGAGTCCATCACCCCCTGCTGGAAAGATATAGTGTTGCAGTGGAGTGGGGCGGTAGTCTGTGTAGACCACATGGCATGGCTACAGGAGACATTAGAAAAGCATAAATCAATAAACTTAAAAACAAAGAAAAACTACCCTAAGTCACTCATTTAAACTGTCACCTTCTCACTTAGGAACATTATAAGAACTTTAATTATACTATGAGGCAGTACAACATCCCACCTGCTTGTGTAAGTGACAAATCCACTCAGCAAACTGTTTGGCATTGGGGATGGTGGCTGACAGGAAAACATAATGCACATTATCGGGAAGAAGAATGATGGTCTCCTCCCAAACCACGCCACGCTCTGAAATACACAGACCAGTGAGACGTGTTACCAACCAAAAGCCGTCATGTGACTTTTTTTTTTTAACCACAGGGTTAAAATAAACTGTAATTCAACTGAGCCTCAAGTGCTGCTGTTGAGAAATCAGTAAATGAAAAGTCGACAAAGAAGGTATAAACACTGATTTTTCATGCAATTGTTTTACTTCGCTTCCATTTTCATTCACTGCCTCAACTGCACCAGACTACAGGAAATAAAACGCTAGAAAACATGTTAACGTGTTTACTTTCCTGTGTTTTCTCTATTTCAAATATATATAATTAATTTGACAACATGCCATGTGCAATTTTTTCAACAGCGTATTAGTAATCTTAGAACATATATTGTATGGACAATTGAAAGCTGCAGGTCCACACCTCCTAATCTTTGAATTCAGACATTTCTGGTGTTACTGCAGGTGTATAAAATCATTCCTAAAGCCATGCAGTCTGCCTTTGTAGAAATAAAATAAAAGGGTTGTTCTAAAGGGCTCACTGAATTTGAATGCGATGCTGTAATAGGATGCTAATGTTGCAGCGAGTCACTGTGTGAGGGATCCAAGTCAAGTATCCATCCATAACTTACTCATGAATTCTGTTTGTACCCAGGAGAAAATCTATTTGATTCTTGGATGTTCAAAAACACACTGATCTGTAATTTTACAGATCGTCTGCATCACTTTTCTATTTTACACCCACCCGTGTCTCTCATGTAATGGATCTCATCGAAGATGACCCACGCCACTTCCCTCATGATCTCAGAGCCTCGGTACAGCATGCTCCTCAGAATCTGGGAGAGAAGAAGTTTATCATTGACCGACCTCTGGATTGGGCAGCATCAAAAACACTCTTCAATAAGGATATAACTAGCAAATGTAATAATGTCTCAACTCCACACAAATTTTTTTTTTTTTTTTACCTCTGTTGTCATGACGAGGCAAGAGGCAGTGGGGTTGATGGTGACGTCACCTGTCATCAGTCCTACATCTTGAAACTCTTCGTACATCTCTCTGTACTTCTGGTTGGAGAGAGCCTTGATGGGGCTGGTGAAGATCACTCTCTGCTTCTCCCTGAGAGCCAGCGCAATGGCATATCTGCAGAAAGATATCAGAGAAAGCTATTAAAAAATGTTTTTAAAGAACTATCAACACCTACTGAGTACAATTGCTGACCAGTCTTCATGTTTTAGTTCATATTAAATGAAAAATGTTTAGAATACCTGTTTGTTTTGGTTCAGTCTTATGACCAATCAGTGGGCTATAAAGGTTCATAATATCTCTCAGTGCTGCTTTCCAGCATGTCAGTACATTTACCAAGAAGGCACTGATACAGCACAACAGTGAGTATCATCTCTAGTCTCTATAAACTTTTAATGGTCAGCATCACATTTTCTGTAGTTTGAGTTTAAATTCTAAGCTGTATTTTAGCCAAATATAATAAACTGGAATGAGGAAAAATGTGATCACTCAGTATAAATTGTTTACTGATGACACTTACTCAGCACAAACAGTCTTCCCTGCAGAGGTGTGTGCAGACACAAGCACAGACTGGTTGTTGTCAATACATAATATGGCCTCCCGCTGGAAGGGATCGAGAATGAAAGGATACTCCTGCAAGACGAGTAAGATGTATCAGAACAAAAGGAAAGCAATCCCACGGTAATGTCAGTTCTTGAAAACTCACACTAAGGCCCCTTATACCTTGGCTGCTTTTCCCACTCGTGGTTTCAGAGGTTTATATTCCTCACTGGCAGGAAGAGCAACCTGTCAGGGAAGTACAGAAATGGCAACCGTTATCATCACTATTTTTTCTGCTTGTTTATTTAAAAATGAATAAAATTCTTAAAAAACCAAACAAAAAAACAGATTTTCTTTACCTCATGTGAACATCCTTCCACTGTTTCCACCTGCTCCACCTTCACCTGAGGCATAAATTCTGCAAGACTGAAAAAAGAAAGAAGAAATAGAACAAACTCTGATGTGAATGAACTCACATAATCAAAATGTTTATCAGAAAAAAATTGTGATTCATGTGGAAAACGACACTCAAGCCTGACATTAACTGGCATAATGTGAGCTTATAACCAGCTCTTGTTGTTTAGCCGGGTCTTGTCAGCTGTCCGGAGACAGGAGGGTTGTATGTCTAATATGCGGACAATAACTGTGATGATATCAGGAATAATAAGCATAATTATGCGCATTTTCATGTGTTAGAGCGAGCTCTTTGGAGCACAGGTGAGGAGGAAGGGGATGACATTTTATCCAGTTGCAGGTTGCATTTCTCTTTCTTTCACATTTCCACTTCGAGGAGCCCTTCTCAGAGAATATCTGAAATAACATTTTGATGATGACACCTCCTATATTTCTGATTAGAATATGACAATCATATGTAAGCCCTGTGATAGACTGGTGATATGTGCAAGGGGTAACCCACATCTCATGCTATGAGACCTGGGATAAGCTGCTCGATGATAAATGCGTGGATAAACATTCACAAGCAGGGATAATTTAAATATTTCTAATAATATGAAGCTGGTTTTACATCACTTTTTTGTGCTGCTGAGCATTTTAATAACTGTCTCCACTAACACCCTGCATGAACACAACAAAGCTTCCCTTCTTACTTTAGTTCATTCGCCGAAACTGCCTCATGTCGAGGTTTCTTCACAAACACCACCTCCTCTCCACCATCACTGTCTGCCTCTCTCTTGGCTCGGGCAGACGGACCGACATCTCTGTCTGTTTCATTTTTGGCTGCAGCTTTCCTATAGAGAGCAGAAACACACGAGCTGTTAGCCAACATGCATGATTCACCAATGAAGGGCACACAAACACTTAGCTACAAACTCGTGTTCAAGAGAAATGGGCTCAGAGTTATATGCCATAATATTGTTAACTTTAAGCCCAATAAGCCTTTTTCTGTCCGGTGTTTCTTTAACGAACCGATGACTGTTACTATGACTGGCACGAGCACCCATGGCACTACCGTCCTCGCGGAGAAAAAAAACTTTCCAAAACAAACACAAAAATTTTCTCCAGAAAATACATATTTACCCCGGTTCTGCCGCCACGCTCGACGGTACTTTTTTATTTGTGGTATTTTGTTGTTCATCGTCAAACACGCTGAACAAACCGTCTCCAAAGGTGTCAGCCATGTTTGTTAGGGGCACACTTCCCACAATACAGCACGAGGTTGTTTTCGGGTAATACTTCCGCTACGGCAACCGTGCGGGGCAAAAGGGGAGAAAACGTTTTCTCAGGTTCGCTCTTGATTTGATATCTTTACATCTGTCCGGCAATTCGCCGATGTCTTCCCATCTCTCAGGCACATAAAGGACTCAAAAGCGGGCAGCGTTTGGATGACCTAATGGGGGGGAAGAAGAAGAAATCGCCACCGCAAGCAAGTGCTCCGGCCGCACCGAGCCGGAGCGGTGGGGCTGCTGCGGGGAATGGAGTGGCCGAGGAGCCGAGGAAACAGGCAGCCACCAGCAAGCCGGCTAAAGACAGCAAATCTAAAGGTGAAAATCACTCACAGCGTGAACATTTCACTCCACGGTTAAGGCGTTTGCACTGTATTTTCACTCCAATTAATAAGATTTTGTATGGATTTAGCAGGCAGAAATATGGAGCATGACATGGGTTAATCACACATATTTTCCTGTACTATTACTGGATTTACTTTTTTTTTTTAAACATCAACAGGGGCGATTCTAGGTTCAAACTTTTACGGGGGCTCAGCTCCCAATCATAATGTCATGCATGTAGTGCCTTGTAATTAATATTAATGCAATATGCTGTTTCCAAATGAAGTTAAACAACCATTTGTGTTTCCAAAT